GGAGCGCCCGCCCCGCCGGCGGCCCTCGGCCCTGCTGCCACCCCCTCCCCCAGCCCCACCGGCTGGGGCGTCCTTAGCTCCACCCCGCCTCATCTCAGCCGTGACCCCGCTCGGTCTGAGCACCGCCTTCTCTTCTAGCCGACGCTTCAGAAATCCCTTCATACCTCGGCCTGCCCAAGGCGTCCCTCGCCAGCCTGCACCGATCTACAATGAGGTTCGACCCCCTAACTTGACTTGTAAGAACCCCTCACCTAACAGCCCAGTTTGCCACCGCACCCTATGCTGCCATTACTACAAAAAGCACCTCTGTTCCCATTAGCCCTTGATACGCAGCAGCCCGACCTGAGCCCTGGCACAGCCTACCCGCCAGCCAGGCCTGGACACCGGCTCCACTTCACCACAGAAAGTGGTGCCACAAACACCTTTGTCTTCTTGACCCAAGTACAGCCAACTGCCCTGGGCTTCCTCTGCATTGTACACCCTCAACCTGCTCCTAAGCCCCTCCAGTGGAAAGAGCCAGAGTGACCACATCACCTGCCTGTCTGCCACATCAATCCCAGTCCTCATTAGAACCTCTCAAAAACACCACAGACACACAAATAAAACTAGGTATCTGCTTTTTTTAGCCAACACCATAGAAACTGTCTCATATGCCAACCTCACCAGGACACCGTCTCCTATTTTGACTACTGCCATGGAAACCACTTCAGATATCAGCACAATAGAGGGGCATGCCCCACGTTCTTGGTCACCATCATAAATGCCTGTCCCCAGCCAGTCGGTTATGATATTTGTCTGGAAGAGGCACACCCAGCAAACCTGACAGAACAGCGTAATTAATATTGACATACTTCAGCAGACACTTTGACTGATATGCATGCCTTTCTCCTCTTATTTGCACAGCTTACTCCATTAAAAGCAGAGAGAAAGGTGTCCCATTCTTCCTTTTTTATACCAATAATGTGTGTAGTTATGGCAGCAGTTAAACCAACAATGCTTAAAATTATTATGGAAGGTCTCAGGAGCTAGTCTGGCACTTGAAATCATGCAGTTGGACTTTAGCAGCGATCTGCCGAGCTGGGTCCTGGAAAAGTCAGAAGTACCTGGTCAGCTGAAAAAAATTGCTCGCTAATGTCCCTGAGGAGAAATGATTTTGAGCCAAGAGATGCATTTCCTTTAAAAATACAGAGAAAAGCCAACCTCCCTGTATAGGATAGCAGGGGAGGAACACACAAATCTACTGGCTTGGAGACAATGGTGCTAAGGTGGTTACAGTCTTCAAAGAAGGGGAGGGGGGGGTGGCCTGCATAAAGGTACCACAGCATGGGAGCCTCCAGCCAAGGAATCAGTGGTGGAACTAAACAGCAGATACTGCGTCTCACTGCAAGAGGGCCCCCCCAGAAGAATTGAAGTTCTAGTCTACAGAGACTATGGAGAGCAGGAAGCCGGTTCTGCAACTTCATTCCCATTCAGATTCTTGCAAAGGCTAATCCTCTTGCTCTTAGTGGAACTACTCACGCGTAACTGTATGTAAAGCAGTTTGCATGGACAGAACCCAGATGCTGTCCTCCTTGGAAAACTACCAACAGCAAAGAAAGGGGAAAGGCAACCAAGGATAAGGCAGGAACTAGATAAAAGTAGGGCACAGTCAAAGCGCTTCTACTTATGTGGGCATTTTTAGCTGACGCTGCAAGGTATGACACTTCACAGCAAGGACCGAGATGAGGAGTTCAGTGTATGATTTCCAGCATTTCTATTGTTTCTTCCCAGAATACAACTACATTTCTAGAAAAATACATAAAGTGTGATCACTTGCAATAACCACATGAAAGGGAGAAAAGAGATCAGGCATTTGAGGCATAATTGCACTTTGTAAGAGTAGTGTGATTCCAGCTGGAAGAGTTTAAGATTGTAACTAAACAAGACCTAACCTGTATGCTCAAAACTGTTACCTGATTTTCTCTGACTATACCAGACTGTCTAGTATAATAGACTATTCCTGTTTTAAAAAAAATCATGTACATTTACAGACAGAAATGTTTTTGAAAGTTACTGTATTGCTGCTACATGTAACCAAAAAATTACTGGAAGTCCAACATCCTCATTAAATATATTCAGTGCTGCTTTTCTGCTTCCTGGCCACCAAGGCCTAAAGCAGCTCCAAAAAAGCTTATGCAAGTATCCATTACCTCTTCTGTTTCTTGGCTTCAAGTGAGTTATGTATGTATGTGAACATAAGTACAGTCACTCTTCTCTCCAGAGCCACGGCACTCAGACAACTTTGCTGTTCACGTACCAGTAAGTTTATCTGTTTACATTCTTCTTTCCAATGAAACAGTAGAACGGTGCTAGTCTCCTTTTTCACATTTTTATCTCCCATGGTCAGCTCTGTATAAACACAAAATTCTCACTCCTACTGCCTCTGCGGTTACACCAGTTTCTTCCTTCTAAATTCAGCATTTCTACACAACTGCAAATTCCTCCATACAGTTTATTTCTTCTGTGTTAGATGACACGTTTTCTTGCTTTGTGTATCATCAGACCAAATACTTCAGCCATGTTTTATGAACCACATGTCTGATAATAATGAGACAACTTACTGTTTCCATTACTAATTTGGGAACTATTTTCTGAGACTGCATTTGTGGCTAGAATTCCAGATAGAGGCACAAAACCTCACTTTCTGGTACTCACCCAAACTATTTTCTTCTACAACCTTTTTTCCTTCCCCCCAGCTCCCATGAAGATTGTTATTATCCCTTAGGGACAACGTGCAAAAGCACACTAATTTCACAGGGCAGTGTCCCTTCCCTGCCTGCCCCAACATACGCTCTGTACCAGAGGATACCAGAAGATTGGTGAAGAAGCCTGTTCTTTCCGACACATGAGGTGCAAACGTAGCATACGGGTCTTTGGAGACACAAATATAATGGAAAGGCCAGAGATCTGACACCAATATTTCACAAAATGGTTAAGTATTGTATCTGCCTTTTGAAGTGGAAAACAGGAGTCTAAACAAGATTGAGAGATGTGCAATGTCACCGAACTTTTCTTCGACCAAAACTCTATCACTTTTCAGGAGAAATCAATACCAATTTTCTAGGCCCTAAGCCAAACATAATAGTTTGGATTAGTTCGATAGAGAATATGCAAACAGGATATCAAATGCCCTTTGAACACAGCAAGCTGTTTTGTGGTAGGCATTTAACTTCCTCCAAACCGGGTGTTCACAGAAATTGTCGCTTTGTCCTGAGTAAAGCATAGCTCTATTTTCTATTTTTGTATGTGACCTGTAATATGTTGCTAAAACAAACACTCTGCTTTTTTCTCCTTCTGTTTCCTTCCTCAGAAATTCACTACTAAAATCACAGTAATTGTACAGGCAGATACACATTACCTTCTATCACACTTCTGAAAACCTGGGATTTTGGAGCAGCGTGCACAAAGATGCTGTAAGAGTATGGCTATGCCGCTGTCATCTGTGGCCTTTTCATAGCAGTGACACAGAGTAACATCAACTGACAGAAACGTAAATAAAGACAAAGTTCTTCTAGGTATGGAACCAACTTCCCCCCGTGACTGGTGAAGATGATTATGGTATATTGATCCTAGCTAAAGCTTCTTGCTACTGTCGTGAGATAAGCAATAACAGCAGCAGCAAGGATAAAAACCAATTCTAGCAATCAGCTCGTGCTATTCATTCTGTTCTGGGTCTGGAACTGGAATTCAAATCCAGACTTTTGTTCCAGCCTGTAATGAATAATTGCAAACACATCTACACACATAGAAAGAGCTTTTACATACGCCCTTTTTGTTTCTAGGATTTAACACTGAAAACTAAGATTATGTTAATAGGGTGGTTTCGCTAGCACTTTTATGGTGCTCATGTTTAGAACGATGAACCTTGTGAGCCACAAGAAAAAGATTTATTACCATGAATAATGAGAAACAAATTCTTATCAGTGTCATTAACATATGGTAAAGAAAAAATCTTTCAATCTGCTCAGCCAAACTCCAGTGCTTTTTCAGTTTATTCAAAACGAAGCAATTTTAACCAAGATTCAGCTCTTTTTATTCCTGTTTTCAAAGAAAAAATAAGTTATCAATAAAAAGTATGAAGAGGTAATGGAAGTGAGAAATTGAACCAATATCTTTTGTGGGATTTAACTGTCTTTCCTAAGCAAATTTTTAACTTGTCACAATGCATCAAAGAATCAGTATTGTTTCTGTACACGTGATCTTGTGGCCTGAGCTCAAATTTTAGATCTAAGAGCTCCTGAACTATCTACCCACCTCGCTATTTCAGTTTTGCATGAGTTCCTGTATACAATAAGGCAAATAAAAGACCAGTAACTGTTGTCTAGTGAGAGGATTAATTATTGTGCTTTATATTAGCTTGACTAAGGAATATACATTTCTTTTTCTTGAGAAATCAAGTCCACTTTTCTTAAGGAGGTCTGAAGCTTGAAGTTCTGTGTTATTATTACAGATCATCTTCAAATTATCCCTTGTTGCCATCTTAACTGTAAGAAATAGTAACCATCTCAGTCAAGGTACTCGTGCTGTATTTGGCCAACTTTTAACATACAGCAATTGCCTTAAATGGCAGTCTTCGAGGTATAAGAAAAGTGGAAAGATACAGTAGCCCTTATTTTGATGAAATCTTATGACAGTTTAAAACTCTAGACTGTTTTGAACTTAAAGAATTTGGGTGATTGTTTAATAATATATTTAATTGCTTCTTAAAGTAAGCCACTGGAGCTTGGAACAACAAATCTGTTTCTTTACCCATTTTTTTAACCCCTGCTACTTGTATGAAATGATCTGTTTTTTTAAGGTCAGCTTTTAGGTAACAAACTATTTTGCTTGGCTTGGCAAACTTTTATAAGAGGACTGGGACACGGTAGGAAAAAAAATACCGATTGACCATTTTGCCTGTACCTACTTAGACACTAGAATTTATACAAGTGCTAACAAGGTATTACATGTCTCCGTACATGAAAAAGAATGACGCAACTTTGCTTATATACTGAAATCACCTTTGAAAGCAAGTAAGAAACTAACATGCACCTTCCCAGGAACTTCAATACCTATAGCTACAGCATGCAAAGGCAGGTTCTGTGACTTGACTTTAACTTCTCTGTACCGATAAAGTTTGCTTCTTGGAAACTTCCAGAACTAGAAACGTGCAAGGATAGACATACTGGTAGGGTTTATAAATCCCTTTAAAAGGTAGAAGCTGCAAACAGTGTTCTTTATCTTACCATTCTGGCTGTAAATATGGTCTGCAGAGTCATAGGAGCATTCTGCTGAGCTGGGAGATGGTCATTGTTTTATCAGGAGTCTGTAAAAAAAAAGCATTGACAACATTAAGAGAGCCATACCCAATCTGATGTTTCAAAATAAAGATATTGTTCTCCCATTTTCCAATATATCACACAATTGTCACGTAAAGAGTCAGAAGAGAACATTGTATAACTTTTAAGCAAAATCTTCAGAATATTTGAATTTTAAATGCAGCTGGGAAAATAATACATTTTTAGAAGATCTAGACAATTAAATTAATAATAATTTGGGATTTGTTTTAAACTTAGGTAATTTGAAATTCTAGCATGATTACATCCTTGTGCAGATTTAAAGTTCATTTTCCAAAGGCATTCATCTGTCCATCCTTGAAATTTATTTGCTGCAAACATGAACCAGTAAAGCTTGATTGCTTAAGTGTTTGAGGAATATGATCAGAAAAGGGAAAACAGACTTAGCACAAATGTGTTTACACATCAAAATCAAGGACAAAAAAAAAAAACCAACTATAATTATGCTCTAATTTTTATTTTTTACTAACTCTCCATTTGAGTTCTAGTGGAGACTTTGGAAAGTTTAGATGACGAGCACAACAAGAAGTATACTTTCTTGGTAAATCTCCTTGGAGGTTTGGAGGCAAAGGGCTTCATACTAGCCTTGCAAACATGATGAATTTCACTCAAATTGAACAAGATGAATTACAGCTATTCTAGAATGAAAAGAAAAACAACCCAGGCCTCCAAAACCGCAAGTATAGAACTGGGATTTTTATTTCAAGCAAGTTTCAAGCCTGTTTCCATAACGAACTTCATTCTGGTCTCTTGTGTGCAGGCAGCACTGTAGGGCATTTTATTGATTGCTATATAATAGTTGACAAAATGATGCATTATTCAGCAAATTGCCACATGCAGTGAAAAGAAACTGTGCCTTTTTTCTGAAATCTTACAAGCATATGCTTTTTTTATTTTATAGACAGTCTGACAAAGCACTGAATCACCCTGTTGTAACATACCATATATATAAAAGAGAAGACCTCTTATATTTGTAGCTCAGAACAAACTTCTTCATATTTGTCAACACTTGTTAGATGTGGAGTTCAATCAATTTTTGATGTAGTGGTACTATATCAGGGACACACTTGGATTAGAACGTCACCTGAACAGAAATAGCTTCTGTGTCAGACCGATGTTTCCCATGAGCTTTTATGTTTTCTTCCTACAGTCGATTCGCTATAAACTGGCTCCTGCCAGAGCTTTATCCAGCTAGGAGAGCTCATCAGCCCAGGGACTAGAGCAGTTTTGTGCATGTCAGGCATGTCGTCCATATAAACTCCAGAATTAGCAGCTTTAACTGTTGCAGGCAACAGATTTGCATGCTGAAACAAATACTCTTTCTCCCTGACCAAGCCATTAACAGTGATAACTTGTCTCAGCTTGAAAGCATTCACAGTGTATTTTTTTAATATATATTTAATCAAAGATTAGTATTAGAAGGTGAGCTGGTGAGAAAACGTAAGCAGCCCAAGAAAACACTGTTGGTACAGTCCTGTCACAAAATGAGGTCAATGGCTTTTTGTACAATTAAAGCAGCAGAGGGAATGCCAGACATCCTGGGCGAGATATCCACAGCACTTGATCACTGTCTGAAAAATCTGACTGCAACTTTCATTGCAATTTCACCCAGTGGAAGACCCAAACAAGGTTCTACGTGCCCAAAACGTGACTTATTTTCTTCAAGATTTAATAGTGGATTTAACAAGAAGCTATTAGCTCCCTCTACAAATGCGTCTTGTTTTAAGGTCTAGAAACATTTAATTTAATGACAAAAGCTGAGATTTTGATCTCTTCTCATTATGCCAAACACATGGGTCTTAAGTTATGTGCCTGTGCCTTTAATTCAGCACTGAGTAATTACATTTAGGTCAGTGGAATCACTCCAGGTTTTTCTTGGTGTGTCTAAACCAAATGTTGTCCTAAGGATTTGGAAGCATATGAAGTGAATTTAGGAATGAACATGTATGTCAGGACTTGGAAAATGCAGCTGAAATGAACTAAC